GAACTAAGAGCTCATATTACTTGCAGCTGTCCCATAGCTCAGTCAAAAGGTGATGATCTCAGTTTTTCTCTTTATGCCATCTGAGTGTTTCCATTTCATATCCCTCCTACTAGAACCAGTATTGCATACCACCCCTCTACCCTACATTTCTGAACTGATTCATTTCTATGTCTGCGTTTAAGCATGCAGTCCTCATCTAGACAACTATTCAGTTCATGAATCAGCAGTATTATATGTTGTGCAGTCTGTACTTTCTTAGTGCAAAATACCCTTTCTATAATCACAGGAATCCTGTCTTGATTAGCCCAAAAGCAGTGGCCCATTTTGGTAACACTTTTAAGTACATCATTGCATATTTAAGCACTTCTAATGTGTATATCTTGTTATCACATATTTTTCATGTTTTTAAGCTTACACAGTGGGTGTGACACTTCACCTTTATCATTGTTTATTCTCAGTTTTCTTTGCATTACTTTAGCCTATAGCAAACATATTTAAGGTGAGGTTGAGGATTTATGGATAAGCTTGAGGCCACTAATGGGTGAACCAGATCCTTTCAGTGTTTCAGTTGCTCTTCCTAAAGTATCTGTAACATTTCCTTTCTAGGCAAAAATAACACAAAGCAAACAGATATCCAGAGATATGTTCCCTTCTGCCATGTCAGCTTTAAAGAGGAAAATAAACCCAAACTATTCTGTTTGTGTCAAAGCTACAGAGGAAAGGCTATGGCAAGTAGTGAGAAGTCTTGAATAGGCAACATCCCCATTGATTACAGTAACAGAGAATTATCTCTAAAGTCCATGATGATTTCAACTGTTGATTCTATCAGAGCAAGGGAAACTCTCTCTCGGGTAATGTTGTAACATCCTTACCTGCATGGGGCCTTATAGATTAGTCTGGGGTCTGGAAGTAGTGGATAAAACTGCTGCAGTCTAAGATACAAAATTCTGATTTGATCAAAATCTCCACGTTAATTACAATTTGCTAGGAATATTTATCTTGAATAAATTTGTATTGAGAAAGTTTGTCAGACTGAATAACTTTGAGTTGCCAGAACTCAGCGTGACCTCCAAAAACTGTTCCACAAACCTTTTTACTAGACCTTTTCTGGCATGTCTCTTGTGTCATGATTCAGGTCAATGTGCCTGGTTGCTGCTATTATTTAAAACAATGTAAAAGGCAAAGGCTTGGTGTTCTCACCTGTTTGGAGAGATAAAAGCTATGACTATTTTTTGCACCATGCTTTGTGCTCCTTGGATCAATATAAAGTTGAGCCAGAACCAAAAGCCAGTCAGCAGTGAAACTAATAGCCAGGCCTGAGCCTACCAAATTCACATCATTTGGCATTTGCTGGTGCTCTAAAGCAAGACACGAACTCTATATAGGTCCTGAGCATGCCAGGAGTCTGTTCAAGGTATCTTACATACACAATTTTATAGTTAGAAACCCACAAAGAACCATGGTCAGTCTTGCTGTAGAGAGCGCTTTGTATGGCACCTCAGGAACCTTGAACAGGGATGGGCCAAAGACTCGAATGAAAATCTACCAGAGGGACAAGGGACATGCCAGATTTTGACAATACTGTCATGAGCTTGACCATGCCTGACTACAGGAGTCAAGACACCAGCGAGCAGCATGCAGGACTCTCTTAACTTGAACTGGATAATGAAGGCTAGAGACTATTGCTAGCCAGGACCTCTTAAACTCCCAGAAAACACCAGGAACTTCCAAGGATAAAGGGAAGAAATGGGCTGGCATTGGTCCAAGTAAAGATATATGCAGGCCTTTTTTTTCTGAGCACATTTTGGGGTGGGGGAAGGTTATCTTCTGTGCTGATCATTTCCTGGACCTGTAGCCAGGTGCCAGACACGGGTGCAGGGCTGTACTGAGAGTGGCCTCACACCTCCACCAGCTCTGGGTGGCTGCTGGAGGCCTCTGGGGCAGCCTGATACCCTGTCCCAGCCTCGTGATCACTCCAAGCTGTCATAATGACCTTGCTTGCTCGTCTTCTCCCTCGAGCCCTGCCCCTGTGCTTGCCCTTGAACTTTGTTATGTGGTGTGAATCACGGGTTTTCCTCCAGCCTGATTCATTCCTGCAGCTAGGACAAGGCTCCCAAACGGGACAGAGCTCCTCCCCAGTCCTCAGGCTCCTTCATCCTGAGCTGAGTCCCCTCTGTGCAGCTCTTGTCCCTTTGGTGACCCCACACCCCCACAGAGCAGTGGTCTTCCATGTCGCCACAGACACTGGGTAGTGGTTTTCATGGAACCAGGGGCAGGCACATGAAGAGCAACAATCACAAGTTATTCCCTTCCAACGTACTTTATTTTCCTCTGGCAAATAGCTCGGAGAACATCTCACTGCCCATGACCTGAATAAACATCAGCTGTACAAGCAACCCTGTGTACTGTGACACGAGTTATAACACTGAAGTGCCGTGGTAGTGCGTCTCGTTTCCCACATACACCTTTTTTGCTCACCTGCCGTAGCTTTCCTTGCTTGAGCATCTCGTCTCCCCCAGAACACAGCGTGCAGAGTTCCTTCTAGCGGAGCTATCAAACAGGGAACAGAAAATAACGATGGTGGCTGTGAAGGTACCGCGAAGTAAAACCATATGCGGAAAGAAAAACCCCCGCTTTTCTCCTGTGAGTAAGGCAACACGGAGTTTATGTGAGGAGGGGAGCACACAACTGCCGGCAGAGCAGCGCACGGCTGCTGAGGGGGCTCAGGGAGGAAACCCGCTCTGCCCTCCGTCCCCTCGCTGCCGAGAGGGGCTGCGCCACCTCCCGATTTCCTCCTCCCTTCCTTCCACCCCTACCCTGGGGCCGGGGGTGCGGGAGCACCGCGCACTCCTCTGCCCGGCACCGCCTCCCGCTCGGGCCGGCGGTTTCGGTGCGCTTCCCAGGCAG